TGTTTCAAGTGTTCAGCACCAAAAATTGTAGCTAGATTAACTCCCATGATGAGAGGGGTTCTCCCATCATGGTAAGTAATTCACCCCCATAGAGATAGTATCTAGGTTCACAGAAGAATTCTTCCTTCCACCTAGCACTGTCTACATTAGGGAAAAGAGGGTAGGTCATTTTAATCAAGTTGCTCAGGGGTGTTGGATTTTTCACATCTCTGAATGATGTGGGTTGACCTAACATTTTAGCAAAGACCTGCCCTAAATAACCTAGCCATAAGGTTTCATAGTTAGAAAGAATGAAATCAATGGAAGTGAGCCACTTACACATGAAGTGATCTTAAGATTTTCAGTAGGGTCATCCTGAAAGAACAGTTTATATCAGTGCTTGAGGTCAAAACAGTAGTATTCTAGAATATTTTATACAATTACTTCAAATCAAATTCTTATATTTCAATATCTATCTTAATGGCTCTGTTATTTGACTCAAGTCAAAAGTTAAATAGTTCTTATAATGATCTCTGTCCTCACAAAGGGAAAAGGATGTTAAAACTTTGTTCAGACAAAAGTCCTATAATGCATTGAGTTTCACTAGGTGGCAGCATAGTTAATGACTTTCTTCTAAGCACAACTGAAAAATACATCTAGCATCCCATGTATGTTTTATATGTACTTTAAAGAAACTAGATAAGAAATGTGCATGAGGGTCAGAAAAGCCAACAGACAAGTAGATCACCTGGGAAATTAATATTAAACATACAAAATTACTTCAGGAGCTTCAGATCAACCATGATATTTTAACCAAAGGCCAGACTACAGTATCAACTTCAGGAAGTTCTCTGTGCTAGTTTTCAGCTACATTCTGAATATTGACATACTGTGTGGTAAAGATCAAAGAAAGAGGTGAAGGTGATATTCCTAAAATGATGTGCCAGGTAGACATACTGTAAATCAAAATATCTGTCTCAAAGAATTGCTAGATCAGGTAGGCTGGGCCTCATGAACCTAATAAGGTGGTGATAACAAGGTAGCAGGTTCTAAGACACCCGGTTGGCATTTCATAGTTGCATTGAAATATGCCTATTTTAGGAAGCTCCCTCCCTTTTTTTCAGCAAACACCCAGGTTAAAGCCCTAGTAATCAGGAAAATTTGATACTAAAACAACATAAATGGACTAAAATAATACAGTCTGCTTAAACTCCTGGCCTCCACTCCATACACACCCTGGCTACGTCTACATTGGCACCCCTTTCGGAAAAGGGATGCTAATGTAGCACGTTGGAATAGGCAAATCCGCGGGGGATTTAAATATCCCCTGCGGCATTTGCATTAACATGGCTGCCGCTTTTTTCCGGCTTGGGGAAAAGCCGGAGAAAAGCGCCAGTCTAGACGTTATTCTCCGGAAAATAAAGCCTTTTCCGGAGGATTTCTTATTCCTACTAATATCCCCCAGAAGGGTTCACACACGACCCCACACCGACCAGAGAGTGCCGCACTTAGCGCACTTTTCCCCAAGCCGGAAAAAAGCGGCAGCCATGTTAATGCAAATGCCGCGTGGGATATTTAAATCCCCCGCGGATTTGCCTATTCCAAAGTCTACATTAGCATCCCTTTTCCGGAAAGGGGTGCCAATGGAGACAGCCCCTGTGATCAATGGTTGTGAATTCTGAAGGGATAATGATGGTTTATTAAAATGTTCTGTGAACATGCTATTTCTTGGTACACTCAGACACAATTATCCAGTGTTCTCTGATCTCCAACATCATGCTTAGCCAGTAATTCTTAACTCTTCTTCACTGCTGCTAAATGATTTAAGGATCTGTAGCCAGACACAAAAACCCCATCTTGTTTTTCCACGAGCCCCATCTTGTTCCCCACCCCCCCAGAGAGCAAGAGAAAGGCAGTCAGCCTTTGATGCCCTGGGAACACAGGTTTGCTGCCTGTCCCTGACTCTACCATAAACAGAAACCAGACAGTAAATGGGCTAGCTGATGACCCGGGGCCTCCCGTTGCCCTGATGGCTAGTACCAGTAATTGACACGCCTGCACTGTCCCAGAGAGGAATCTTCGCCCATCACATACCAGAGGTGCCCATTGTCTGCATTTTCCCAGGTGTGAATTATGCTTTGCACCCTTCGTGGGAAACTTGGCATTCAAAGCCATTTTTCCTAATTGGCCACTTGAGACCAGGAAGAAGCCTACATGACCCAAGGGGTATAAAAAGAGGTTCAGCCGCCCACCCCATTTGAGCTCCAATCATCTATACCTGCTGGCAGGTATTGATTGTCTCCCGAGGTCTGTGGGACGCCCCACCTCGCCCTACTTCTTCCCGAGGGATTGAGAGAAAGACGCTGGCCACGCCAAGTCTGGAACGCAGGGGTGAGAATATATACCTGCTATGTGTCTATTTTGCATGCATTTAATAAGAGCTCAGAGAACCAAAGGGTTTCATGGTACCTGTAAGTGACTTATTAGTGTAATTTCTGTCCTGTCCTTTGTAGTGTCTGTGTTATCTGTAACACAGTAGTAGCATTTAACAACTAAGTTTACCCTGTAACAATAAACAGTAACTGTTTAAGCTTTAACCTAACTCCTTCAGTTGCTGTAACAGAACCAGGCACAATTTAAAAAGAACTTCAGCCGGTCATAAGGGACTCACTGCCCTGACTGTCGGCTGACAGGATCCAATCCTGCTGTATTTACTCAGGCAAAGTTTTCATCATCTGTAGATTTTTGCCTCGCTAAAAACTCCAGGATCTGTTCCTTTAAATTGCAAACCTTGGACCTAATCCTCTCATTGTAGTCAATGGAAGTTTTGCCATTAACTTTACTGAGACACATTTGAGTGCTTTTCCAGTGACATTATCTTGCTTCTCTGACTTTCCTTTCATTATAAAAGAGACATATTTTTATAGGTCACAAATATCTATGCAGTCCCAAATTGAATACTAGCCTTGGTATTTAATCAGGGAAAATATCTGCCATTCACAAATTGCTTGAGCTGTGCTCTTGCTGTTTATGATTTCAGCAGTGCCCCTTGATTAAATTATAACCGTGTTCAATCAGGGATGATGTATGCATTCTTTTACATTTTTGGCAGTAGACTTAGGGCACAGAAGAATGTATAATGTATTGTACATTCTATTATTTATAATATAGGATATATTTTGTATATTGATCCATCTATTTTTTTTCCACAGGGAAAAGGAAAATAGGAAACTTTACATTCAGGGGAACTCTAGGAAGCTGGTAACTCCAATCCTGATTATGTAAATTTGAATGTACTCATCCGTACTCTAAATCTTGAGAGAAGCTGATTGTGGATTCGGGATAGAGAGGAGGATGTGTATATTAGGAATATAGCTACTCAGTAACGTGTAGGGCCCAATCTTGCCATATTTACTCTGGAAAAAAATTGTCTACAAGGACAGCAGGATCACTTCCTTACATAATACCCTTTGATCCTGTTCCCACAGAAGTCAAAGGGCCATTAACTTGATTGAGATGAATCATGTCTTACTTCTCTGACTCTCATTACTCAGGACCCTTCACTACTAAACTCCTTGCCCCCACCAGTAGTACTCCTGATCACCTCCCCAACAAGTGCGATAGGGAGAGCATACTGCATGGCACGGCTCTATCCCTGCATGCAAGTGGGTAGGAAGGGGCTTGGCACAGCTTTGATGCTATCTCCCCACATGATGGCCAGCACAATTCAGCTGGACTTGGCATGGGCTTGGGAGAGTGGAAGCAAGGAAGCAAGGAGCAAAGAAAGTCACAATTCCTTCCTGGGCTTCTCTTGGGACAGCCCAGGTGCATGCCCCTTATCCTATGTCTACACTGCAGCACTATTTTGGGATACCAGAGGTATCCCGAAATAGCTATTCTGCATCTTTTGAATGCACCCATTATTTCAAAATATAACAAGTTCGCTATTCCAACATCCCTGTAAACTGCATTCCACAAGGAGTAAGGGATGTTTTGGAATAGTGATTTATTTTGAAATAAGTGCTGTGTAGAGAGCACCAAATTTTGAAATAAGCTATTCTGAAATTAACTCAAAATAAGCTACGCAATTTGCGTAGCTCAAATTGTGTAGTGTAGCCTATTTCAAGCTCTGGGTGCAGTGTAGATGCACCCTTAGAGCAGTCTGTGCCAAAAGTACTGTAAATAATTTTGATTAAAAATTAACACCTTTAAACCTGCTTTCAATCTATGAATCTGTAGCACTGGAAAATGTCAACTTTTTAAAAAAATAAGTGCAGTGTTTCCTTATTTCAATAAATACCTATTTGGAAATGATATATTGTTTCTTCTACTACATACTCTCCTTGTTCCTTAACCATTTTATCTTCTAATTAATTAAAACATACATTGATTTACCATCTCAGAATGTCCAGAAATTATAGCACGAACAGTTACATCAACCTCTGTTTTCTCCTACAGGTAGAAGATAAATCTTAATGTGTGCTTTTCTGAAGAACTCTTTAAGTGTAATCACTGTACTTAAAAACAAAAATCAACAACAACCCTAATAATAAGTGGCAAGGGCCTGGAAATAGATATTGCCATCCCGTACAAGCTATGTAAAATATATTGAATCTAAACTGTGCAGCTCTAGAAACTAGCAGGCACTTCATGTTGGTTTTGAAAAGAGTGGGAGCAGTATGAAATCAATAATTTTATTGGTTTAATTAACTCAGTTTTAGGTTGATCTAATTAAATCAGTTCAAATCTTTATGGTGGACACAAAAATCATCTTAATGCTTATGTATTAGTAATATCACCCAGGTACTCCTGTCATGCATCAGGACCTTATTGCGTTAGTTGCTGTACACACAACATTTAAAAAAAGACAATCTGTGTCCTAAAGAGGCAGCAATGTAAATATAAAACAAGAGACAACAGATGGAGACAGACAGGAGAATAAAATGTGATAGTATTAGTATGATAGCTTGTGGCCTCAGTTCATCAGCCACCCAACCTTTGTCAAGTTTTTTGTAGGCATCATGCTCAAAGGAGAAGATAAATCAGTGCAGCGTACTGAGGTAAGTTCTATTTAGTAAAAGAGGAACTTTTTTTTTCTAGCACAGATAAAGCCTTAGGCGCCAATAATATACTGGGATCTGCTGAGCTCCAGGTGGTAGGATCCATGCTAGCAGATCCCAAAGTAGTATCTGGGTCTTACCAAGCTAAATTATACAGATGGTTTACTTCCTCCACAACTAAAATACAGTCACCTAGCTACTCTATTTAGAAGCAAGAGGCCAGAATTGAAGAATACGGTAACAAATTGAAACTACAGGGGGAAATCTAGATAGTGAGAATGTAATTACCCACACTGGAATTTAGTCAGGAGACCAACATTAACATCATCAGTCTTATGAGTTAGAAAAAGTGTTAGGGACAGAATGTCAGCAATCCCTTCAATTTCCCTTCAGGAAAACTTTGCCACTGACAGCTTACTTCAGCCTCCGAAGCCCTGAGTGTCGGCCACCCCCTTCCTTCCCCTCCCCAGCAGGGCTGAAGCCCTGAGTGCCAGAAGCTCCCCCTTGGTGTCCTTTATTTTGCATAGGGAAATATAGTCACCCTAGCTGAAATGTAAATAAATACTATTCAGAGCCTAGTTTTTTCATCCTTTCACATTGTGAGGTAACAACGAAGCCAATGGGAATTTGGCTTGACAGATGGCATAAATGGCCGATGTGTGTATGTATGAAACGCCTGCAATGGAACAAGCCTGATTAGGTTTGGCAGAATTTGATTTTTTTTAATTCAGTGGAAAATCTCTTTATTTGTAACCACTTTTTATTTATGTAAATTTTCACAGTTGCAGGAAGTTGAGGGTTGGGGATAGACAACAATTATTTAATGACAGCAGACAGATTCAAAAAGTTAAAGCTTTATTATCATTAAAGCAGGCTGTATTTTGACATGTGATGTTGACAAAGTAAATATTCCTCAATCAAACTCTAAGACATTCTCAAGCAGCATTTTCCTTACTTTGTCTAGCTCTACATTTTTATTATTACCGAAGGAAATATTTTTCATTGGTCTGTGTGTACGTTGAAATTGACTTTACCTACGTTTATTAATAAAAATCGAATTCTTCCAAACCTCCAGTTGATCTAGCTGAGTTTTGGCATCCCTACTAATAAGGAGGGCATTTTCCCAGGATGAAGAGAGATTTAAAATAAATAAATCACAACATTGCTTCTCAGTCTTTAGTTTTGGAAACAATTTGTGGAATGCCTTGGAATTTTGGCTAAATTCAACAGTTGAGCCTTCAGACTGTCCATTCTGTGCTCAGATGCAGTTAACAATATTCAATGCAGGAGGCCAAATGAATGACGTGGAGAAGGCCAAACTGTATTCCATACTCTAGCCTTTAATTTTTTCTAAAAAATATGTTTCTACTCCTTATGGTTGCTTAGAAAATCTTTAAAACATTAGTTTACTGTAAATAAATACAGTGTGTTCTTTCTGAAATTGCAGAAAACCTGAAACAATAGATCTGAGAACTGAGAGCTACCCCCTTTCATTTCATTGTGGTATTTAATGCTGACATCTAAACAAACAAACGTAGCAATTTAAAATGGCAACATTGTCAACTATTTCACTGCTGTTAATTTTAGCAGATAAACTCAACTATTGTGCTTATCCCCCAATCATCTCCCACGCCTTTTTAGTACTAAAGCCTTCAATTTCCCTGAAATCTTTTATGATGTTTTTTCAATGTAAAATTTGCAGCATCTAGAAAACTGAGAATACGGGAAAGACATAAAATACACTAAATATCAGAATAAATATCAGAGGCATGTGTCATTGAATGTATTCATCAATTCATACTTAATTCAAAATTTTTTTTTTAAATTAAATGGTGCTGCCATAGTACAGGCAGTCCCCGGGTTACGTACAAGATAGGGACTATAGGTTTGTTCTTAAGATGAATTTGTATGTAAGTCGGAACTGGCTCCAGATTCAGCTGCTGCCACTGAAACTGACTTGTTTCAGGACTCTTCAAATATATGTGCCCATCAGACAGTTTTTCTACAATCTCATTCACCCAGAATACAGTGCTGTGACTGATGTTTATGTGCTGATGTTCCTCGCAGATACTGTGGACTTCATCATCATTGTGTTTGGGTTTTGGGCTTTTGGGGTATGTTAAAAGAATCCTGTTCTCTAAATCCTCTTTCAGAATCTTGGCCATAATTATGAAATGTCAGGTGGAATTTGTTATCCTGAAGTTATTGTAATGTTTTCCTTCCTAGAAACATTCTGCTGCAGCCGATATCACCTCTTCATTATCAGAGGACCAGGTACCAGAGGCATTCTTAGTGATGGTACTCATTCAATTTGGGACCATGGTTGTAGACCGAGCACTGTACCTCAGAAAGACTGTCATGGGAAAAGTTATCTTCCAGGTCATTCTTGTTTTTGGGATACACTTTTGGATGTTCTTTATCTTACCTGGAGTGACTGAAAGGTAAACCCATTAAAAATAAAGCAATAAGAGTGGAATAACATCATTTTTCAAATTTATTCCTAATTTAATTTCAGTGCATTACACAGCTTTGCTGGACCCCCCCAGCAGACCAGGGAGACCGGAAGAAGCTTTTCTCACCCTGGAGGACACGGGTGGTGATCCACCGCCCGTGAGCTCCGGGGCGAGAAAAGCCCCGTTCGTAAGTGCGGATCCGACATAAGTCGGATCCGCGTAAGTCGGGGACTGCCTGTATTTTCAGTCTGCTGCAGAAATTAGGTCTTGTCACAGAATTTAGGCCCAGCTTGCAGCAAGCCACATTGGTTCTTAATCATCAGTGCCACAGTATTTTCTGAACCTTTATCTCATAATAGCAGAGTAGTATGCATCTTCTTAATACCTTTCTATTTTTACAGTCCTTAGAATATGGCTCCATTGCCTCAGCACCCATGAGGGCAGAGCAAAATGTCTACAGGCTTTGCTGTTAAACTATATACAAAATATTCTGAACAATTAGTTTAAAAATTATTATATTTATTTAAAATTATTACTACTGGAGAGACTGAAGAGACCCTAAAAAAGGTCAAGATCCCCTACCGTGCTAGGCACTGCATATATACACAGGTAGAATTTGGCCCTTGCCTTGAAAGCTTAGGGTCTAAGAAGTATAACAAAATTGAACTGTGCAAAGAGGTGTAGAATTCAGGGGTTTTGTGGGTACATTTTAATCTTTCCTCTTTTGGGGGAAATGCCTCCCTTATTGCTAGAGAGGCTGTGGCTTGGCATGATCAACAGTTCTTAAAAGCCAAATCCTTTTATTGAAAAAGCATCATCCATA